AACAAGTTATATGAATTGTTGAATGTGAAACTGATGATGTGCCCTGTAAACTTTCACTCAATCCACAATAAAAACCTTAAATTAAAAAAAAAAACGAATATAGCATTTTTTACAAAATCTACTTGCCATATGAACATTTTTTCACAGACGATTGCACATGACTAGTAGTATTTGAAACTCAAGGAATACAGTAAAATGAATTCTAATCTCTAGTTCATCATTTAAAAATATAATAGAAGTATCATATAAACTACACATAGATGTTTTATTATTTGTGAATAAACAACACTAAAATACATATCTAGAAACAAAAGATGAAAATTTTTATAACTGAAAATATGAAAAATGACTAAAATTACTATGCATATGTACCTGGCAGAATTCACACGTAACTTGAATTTCATAAGTTGAATAACTTATCACATCCTCGTTTTCACGGCAAGAATACTGAAAAAAAGAAAGTGGTTTCACAGTTAGAAATCATTTTGAAACAGTATGAAATATATACACTCAAATAATTACTGTATTACCCTGTGATTATTCAAAAACTCAGTTTCAACTAGCTCTATAGACACTGACCTTTTAAAAATACATATCATGGTCATTTGTAGTTCTCTATGAAGTTAGTCCAGAAGATCATAGGTTCTTTCAGGTTATATTTTTGATCATGTACCTCATTTATTCTCTTTATCTACTCAAACTAAAAATGAGGAGACTGAGGTCCCAAAGGTAAAATGACTTACTCCAGTTAAAAAGTTAGAACAAGAATATTGTCTGTTTTTACTTAAATTGTGCTCTCCAGCTGTTATGCCTTATTATGAATATCAAGTGTTAGTCTTGTTACTCTACCAACTACACAAATTTTATGTAAACCATTGTTTTTGATAATACAGAAAGGTCTTTCTGAAAACTGGAACTTTTACAGAGCTATCAGACAAACTCATTAACAAAAAGAATCAAACATTTATGAAATGCCAGCAAAAAAAAGAGCCTAGAAGAGACTTTAAATGAGATAAATAGAAGAATATGGCAGAAATTAAATGACAAGCATATCTTATAACTGAAAATTGATATAAAAAATCTAATATCCCAAAAAAGAAAGGGTATCTGCTCAAGAAGCAGGCCAGGCAGGATGTTTGATAGGCAGCCCATTATGGATAGAATCAGAGTTAGGGCAGGGCAAGAAGGTGTCCTACACACACAGACACAGAATACACACACACATATATACATCTGCATACACGTACACATATACACACACACATATGCACATATACACATATATGTACACATACATACACACACACACACACATATATATGTGTATATATATTGCTCTGGTAGCGTAGTGGTTATGCATCGGGCTGTGAACCTCAAGGTCAACAGTTAAAAACTACCAACTGTTTCGCAGGAGAAAGATGAGGCTTTCTGCTCCCGTAAAGATTTACAGCCTCGGAAACCCTGTACAGGGTCGCTATGAGTCGGAACCGACTCCACAGCACACAGCCACCACCACCATGCTGTTATTAAGTGCTGTCGAGTCAGTTCCTACCCATAGTGACCAAAGAGAAACTGGTGAGCTTGAACCACCGATCGATCTTGTGGTTCAACCAACTTTGCAGTCCAGTGCATTAACCAAAAAAAAACACACCAGGACTACACACACACATATGGTGCTGTTTATATACTACAGCAAAAACTCTATTATGCTGCAAATACACACACACACACACACACACATATATGGTGCTGTTTATACTACAGTGCCATACTAGGAATACCTGTGTGTGTGTATTCCTGCAGGATAAGCACTAGACAGCTAACCAAATGGTCAGTAGTTCAAACCCATCAACTGCTCCTTGGAAACCCTGTACAGGGTTACTATGCACTGGAACTGACTCAATGGCACTAAACAACTACATATATATACATACACACACACACACCACACATACATGTTGTGATGCTGTAGGATAAGAACTGAACCACAAGGTTGGTTTGAACTGCAAGTCGGAGGTTCAAACTCACCAGCTGCTCCTTGGAAACCCTATACAGGGTCACTATGAGTTGGAATGACTCGACAGCACTTAACAAAACACACACACACACCTTATTGTTAGCTGTCAAAGAGTTTGTTCCAACTCACAGCAACCCTTTGTACAACAGCCACTTTCAGTTATTAATGGATGTTTATAACTGTTTCTTTTCATTTTGAGTTGTTATATCAGTAAAATGAAAATCCTCAAAGCTTTGTTCCATTTACATCATTAAGACAGACTCTAAACAACCCAGAAGTAAAGCGATCCACATATAGCCAGCCGATCTTTGACAAAGGGCCAAAACACATCAAATAGAGAAGAGACAGTCTCTTCAACAAATACTGCTGCAAAATTGGAAATCCACTTGCAGAAAATTGAAATAAGACCCATATCTCAAACCATATAAAAAACAAACTCAATGTAGCCTAAAGCCCTAAATGTAAAACCTAGAACTATAAAGACCATCAATGAAAAATAAAGAAAAGTTTAAGGGGCTCAGATTCATGGTATAAATACACTATCAAGCATAATTAAAAATACACAAACAGCAGAAGATAAAATAGATGACTGGGACCTCCTAAAAATTAGACACTTAAGTGCATCAAGATTGCAAACAAGTAAAAAGAGAGACCACAGATTGGGAAAATATTTTTTGCAATGATCTATCAGAGGAGGGACTAATCTCTAAAATTTACAGAAAATGACAACGTAAGACAACCACAAATAACCCAAGTAAAAAATGGGCAGAGGACATGAACAGACACTTTACTGAAGAAGATATTCAGGTGGACAACAAATATATGAAGAAATGTTTGTGATCATTAGCCACTGTTGTTGTTGTTAAGTGCCATTGAGTCAGTTCTGACATACAGCGACCCTGTATAGGGCTTCCAAGGAGTGGATGGTGAGCTTGAACCACCGACCTTGAGGCTCAAGCTGGTTTTGCAGTCCAGTACATTAACCCACAGTGCCACACCAGGACTCCATTGTTATTGTTGTTGAGTGCCGTCAAGTCGATTCCGACCCAAAGCGACCCTGTACAGGGTTTCCATGGAGTGACTGGTGAGCTTGAACCATAGACGCAAATCAAAACAAGGAGGTATCATCTCACCCCAGCATTAACAGCAAAGTGAAAAAAACAAACAGAAAACAACAAACACTGGTGAGGGTGTGGAGAGACTGGGACCCTCATATATTGCTACAGAGATTGTAAAATGGCGCAACCATTGTGGAAAAGGGTATGGTGCACCCTCAAAAAGCTGGAAACAGCAATACTGTATGATCCAGCAATTCTACTAGATATATATTCCCAAGAAATAAGAACCACACACGGAATATATGTAAGTACACCCATGATCATTCACTGCAGCACTATTCACAATAGTAAAAAGATAAGACAGCCTAAGTGCCCATCAATGGGAGGAATGGATAAACAAATGTTTGTACATATACAATGGAATACTTTGCAATAGTGAAGAAGAACAAGGAATCTGAGAAACACCTTATAACATGGATGAATATGGAGAACACTGTGCTGAGTGAAATTAGTCAATCAAAAAAGGGCAGATGTTGTATGAGACCACAACTGTAAAATTTTTCATGCTAAAAGGAGCATTCTTTGATGGTTACCAGTAGGAGGGAAGGGAAAGTAAATCCACTGGCTAGACAGTAGATAACATGTTAATTTGGGTGATGGGGAAGGCAATATATAACAAGAGGGAAGTTTGCAGAAGAATAATGGAGACAGGTGAAACACAGGGACGAAATGCAAGGATTAAAGGGGATAGAGGTAAATACTGTTACATACACAACCCTACAGCAGCAGTGTTCTACAGGTAGATACATGGACAGATACACAGACTGAGCAGGTGCATGAGGGAGGGTGAGAGTATAAGGGTTTGAAAGAGGATATTTGTACATAGGCATTTACCTTGCGGCAAATATACCTATGAAGGTGGTGGCGGAGCACACAGGGAACAATAATGAAAACTTCTTAGACATTACCAAATACCTCGAGGCAACAAACTGCTGGGCTTTGGAGCTCAGGACCATAGTCTCAGGGAACACCATGGTCAACTGTCGTAACATAGTCCACAAAGACAATGTCCTACATCTTACTTTGGTGAGTTATGACTGGGATCTTAAAAGCTCAAAAGCGGCCATCTAAGGGGCAACTAGTAGTCTCTCCATGTGCAGAAGAAAGAAGAGTGATGAAAACTGAAGATGCTTGGACTCAATTAGTCCAGTGGAACACGTGAACACCAATCTCTATAACACTCTGGATAGCGTGAGTGAAAATGTGGAACAAAGCCCAAAATTACAAATAAAAACAAAATGGGCTTACTGCTAAGAAAGAGACTGGAGGAACCCGAAACTATAATCCTTGACCATCCTTCACGTCGAGAAAAGAACTTACCCTAGTAGCCCAATCTTCAACCAACTGGTAGACAGGATTATGTTGTTGTCAAGTGCCATCGAATTGATTCCAACCCATAGCGACCGTGTATAGGGTTCCCAAGCAGCTGGTGAGCTTGAACCACTGACCTTGCTATTCAAACGACTTGCAGTTTGACGCATTAGCTCACAGTGTCACACCAGGACTCCAGATAGGAATATAGAGGGAACAATACTAGCAAGACATACTCTCCATGGAATGATCAACCATTCAAAATCAAAAGGACACAGTTCAGAAGGGCTGGGAAGGAGGGTGGAATGGAAATAAGAACCATTAAGAAGGAAATGGAATCACTGTTGTTACATGGAAGGGTTTGTAACCATTGAGATGAAACAAACTATATGATTCGCTGAATGTAAAACTGATCTCAATTGACTCAATTCACAACAAAAACTTCAAAAAACAAAAGATAAGACTCTGAGGAAGCAGCTCTTCTCTAGTCATATTTCCAGTGCCTTTCAACCTGAGGGATTATTCATCTTCTAGCACTATGAGGTGCTATTCAATAGATTTTCGGTGGTTAATTTTTCAGTAGCAAACCACCTCATCCTTCTTCCTAGTCTGTCTTGATCTGGAAGCTTCACTGAAACCTGTCCATGATGGGTGATCCTGCTGGTATTTGAAATACCAGTGGCATATAGTTTTCACTATCAAATACAAACCACAAGATTACAACAAACTGATAGACAATTGGTATGTGGGTATATGTAAATATATGTATGTTGCTGTTTTTGTTGGTAAGTGCTGTTGAGTTGTTTCCAATTCATATTGACGCTGTACTACAGGGGTTTCAAGGAATGGCTGGTGGGTTTGAACTGTCAACCTTGACGTTAGCAGTCCAGTGTTTATCTTACAGTGCCACATCAGGGTTTCATGTATATGTGTGTGTGTTTATAAATACATACATGTTCTTGTATGTGCATACACATTATATAGGCATACACACATATGGA